CATGATGTCTGACTGGATCCTGACTGCCTTCCTTGCAATCCAAGGCTTGAATATAACATGGTTTTCACCTCTCTGTAATTTGATGACTGGCTTGATTCCTCTGGAGACCAAACCCCTTGGTGAAATTGAGAATTGTGAAGATCTGCACCCCATCCTAAACTTGAAGCATCCATAGTTACAATGATCCATTCCCTTTGATGGAAAGGGTAACCTAGGGCCAAGAATCTTGGTGGTTTCCACCATGTCCGCTGCTTCTGACCTCGTGTGGATAGGCTGATATCTAGATCTAAATCTTCGTCCCTTGTAGACTAGTGTTTCGAGAATTTCCCATTGAAGGAGTCTCATCGCTGCCTGTGCCCATTTGACAGCTGTAATTGAGGATACAAAGTACGCAAGTTGTTGGAGGAGCAAGACTTCTTTCCTTTTATTTTTAACTTTATTTTTTTTCTTCTGAAGATGTAGATAAAGGGGAGATGGTATTTGAATCTATTACTAAACCCAGGAATTTAATAAGTTACGGCGGTTGATAATCAAGCCATGTTTTAAAATGTCTTTAAAATGTGAATTATCGTTTGAATATATTTTTCATTTTTGTACGAGACAAATTTGGCTTTGATAAACCAGTCGTCTAGGTATGGCACTACTGAAAATTCCCTTCCTGAGAAATCTTAAATGTCTTGTGGCAACTGCCATCAAGATGTGCAAGAATGTATCTCTCAGATCCCCAGTGACCGTGAAGTCTCCCTTTTGTAATATGTGTCTCACAGGCAGGATAGTTTCCATACAAAGATTTTGGTATGGAAGGAACGTGTTGATCTTGAGATCTAACAGTGGAAGAAAATATGAATCTTGCTTGGGGACTATATAAAAAGCTTTGGCCTTCTTGGTTGTTTGGGACCTTTTCAATGACAATTTATTAAATTTTTTTTTTTAAAGAATTGACATGGCTTCTGCAAGGAGTGATTTCTGTTTTGGAACGAGAGTGGTATGAAGATACCAGGAAATTTTGGCCTGGGTTTTTCTGTGAAACTGACCTTGTAACAGTTTGTGACAAACTGCCTGTGCCCAGAGTGGTACGTTCGTCTGAAGTTCTCAGATTCCCACAAGGCTCCAGTGATGGCGCTCTATCTCTTGCATACTCAAACATCAGCCGAGAATTGATGAAGGATACAAAATAACGGTTTTATTTAGGCCAAGTCACCTGGTTATATACACAACCCCCAGCATGGGGTCCTCATTCATAATGCTGTAAACCCGCCCAGGTGTCTATGTCTGGGCGTGAGTGAGTTTGCCTTTGCTTAAACGATCTCCCAGAAACACGAGGTACAATGTATAAAACCTATCAAAAACAGGTCCGAACCCCCACATGTTATATCGCCAGATAGCCCTGATATCGGCGCCCAAGTTGTCCAAATAGAGCTCAGATCTATTCAGTCTAGCTGGATCGCCACCGGGGTAATGTTTTGACCGACTGCACACATGGGCAAAGAGTCCGAAATAGTTTCATGGGAATTGTTCTTGTGGTCGATCAATGGTCGGGAGCTCCTTGTTTAAATTTTTTTTTTTTTTTTTGAATGCGGGCTTGCCACAGCTGTCTGGGATTGATCGTTCACCATAGTCTGGGGTACCTTTCTTCCAGTTACCCCAGTTAAAGGTGACCAGGAAAGTGAAGGTGGAGTGGCGCCATTTACCAGTTTGCGTGCATTCAGTAGAAGGAAGGTGCCGAACTGGGTTAATACAGTTCATTTTGGGCAAAGTCTTCGTGGTAGCCTAAAGGAGTTCTTCACACCGTTCTTTATTAGTTTTAAGATCCAAGGATTTGCAGGAGTACTTTCCCTTGCCTGGTTAAACCTTTGAAGTCTTTCTTCCACCTTGTTGGCGTCAGAATAATTTCTTCTTGTCTGTTGAATTTTCTCATAAAGCTTGGTGTTACCTGGGTTGTCTGTGAAAATTTTGATATCTGTCTTGATATCTGAACGACCTCTAATTGCGAAATTTAAACCCTCTATTCCCTGGAGTGTATCAATTCATTTTGTCTGTATTGTCCATCGAGTCTATCCAACCGGAAACCTCACTGATAAAGTATTCTATTTGGAAAGCATTGCTACTTGAATATCAACTTTGGTCAATTCCTCCCACTTCACTAGCTCTGTACACATTCTAAAAAGCTTAGGCTGTATAGGAAGACCTCCTGTAAAATTGAAGACACTTCTTCCATGAATCTACTAAGTTCCTCTGGTGGGAAGTCAAACACCACACTAGATGCTTGACTGGATATATAAGACCTAGAGAAGGCAACCTCTTAACCTTTCTACTGGTACGGTCCTGACCCTCTATACCCCAAACTCTGGCCCTTCAGATGTTGCTGAACTGTAACTATCATGATTCTCAGCCTATCTATTTCATTCATAGAATTATGGGAGTTGTAGTTCAGCAACATCTGGAGGGCTGGAGTTTGGGGAAGCCTGCTCTATAGGAATACTGCTGCTTACAGTTTCTTTTAATGATTTAAAGGTCTGTGCCAGATTATCCTGGAACCAATTAAGATATGATTGCATTTGCAAATTTTCTTTTTACACCTGTCTGAGAGTGGCGTAGCACACTCACTGCAGGAAAGATGCTTGGACTGATATGTAGCCTTTTTGAGTGCAGTCTTTGGCATTTTCTCCTTTTCTAATTTTTCTTGAGAAGTAGGGCTAGACATCTGGAAAATCAGAGCGTAAATAAAAAGTAAACATTTATTTGAATACTGAAGTCCCAAGTCTCACCGCTAAAAAAATAAAATCTCAATACCATTTAAATTCCGTAATGCACATGCGCAGTAGCGCTTTCGGAACTTAAGTGGATCACAAGACCTCACGGGTGTGCGTTCCACTGCTGTGCACAGACGCAAGACCTGCTTTGCGATAGGCGAGCAGCCCATGAACGCCTCCAGAAAATGCCAAGAATTGCACTTTGCATAAAACTTTGCAGCCTCCAGTGCTCCATAGCCTCTCTCGCCAGAGTAGGGTCTATCAGCTCACCATCCAGGGAGCTCTCAGACAAAATCTCCCTGGTAGCAATTGGTGTGCCTGACTAAACCAAAATGCAGTGTGCTCATCCGTCCTAGTGATGGGACAAGAAAGGACCTTAGAGATATTGGAGTAACCAGTTTATAAAGGCTGCTGAGGGATTATTTACTTTTTTTTTTGCTGTCTGTTTATCTGATAAGTACACGCTCCATGATATGTTCTGTCTGGAAAATATATTTATACAAATGTTCGTTTTGTACCCATCTGCGGTAAAAGAGCCCAAGTCAACTTGATTTCAAAGTCAGCCTTGCATACAGTAACTGATGTAATCCTGGTACTGTTTGTACTTCTGTCATAACATTTGGAAACTTTGTATTAAATGATTCATCTTAAAATTAGGCGCTTTAATGCATTTATAACCAGCCTTCTGGGTCTATTCTTTGGTGTCTGATTTGTGGCCACATTTTTTTTCATAGATATGAATGCAGTGTCTGTAAATTAGGACTTTACTACTTCTGTGATTTAAAATTTATCTTTTTCACAACCAATGGCAATTTTATTTTTTTCTTTCTTTTTTATTCGTGCTGTCTGGATGTAGCATGCCTAGGCAAAGTGAAAAGTAATACGTTCTTTTCAAACTCTCGCGTATTTTAATGGGCATTGGATACTTGGGGGGAAAAAAATACAAATTCTTTGATTTTATATTTTGCAATCTGCCAGTTCATTCCACGTCCTTTGTTAACATAGGCCCTGTTTTATATACATTTTATAGTGATCACTTTTATTTTAGTACTATGTTTTGTGTAATTTCTAGTAGTTTCTGACTACCCTATTAAGCGCACAGTCGAATAATTTATAAATATATTTGTAATGCAGGGCTCGACAAATTCCTGATGCCAGGTGGGTCCTACACCATTGGAGATTTACATGCTAACTTTTACAATACTGACTTCTTATACTGCTTCCAGAGACTCCTCAATTTACATATGTGCACCACAGAGCTCCACAGCCACAAAACCCACAGAAATAAGCAATAACCCGGAGTACAAGCGTGTTCCACAGCAATAGTACTCCCCTCTTTTTGTTGTTGCTATTAAACTAGATTGACATTTGTTTGCGATTACACTCCAGCTTATTTCAACTGGTATGAATAACACCAATTTTATTGAGTTCATGAAACAGCCCTATTTACTTACAATCTGGACTGCGAAAACTGCCATTAACCTCTGTGTTGGATTGCTTGTCGCCAATGTACTAATTAATATTCCTGGAAATATATTAACAAGAATTATGCGTCATCGTGGTTAGCCATCAGAAAGGGCCCTTTCGTTGAAAAAATCGCACATCTCACTAAAAGTAGCTACACTTTGAAAATCTCTGGAAAAACAAGCTGCAGAACTTACTGGAATATCCAAACGCGTTGTAGTTGACGTTTTTATAACTTTTGTTGTGAAGTGTATATAGTGTCTATTTTCGTACTAACCCAGTTTTGCGCGGTGGCCCCGGTCCGTATGTTCAAGTTGATGAGTCTTATTTTAGTAATAAAGTACCATTGTGGTTGTGCCCTGCATTGTGAAATGTCTTTGGTATTGTGGACAACGCAACAATGCCAGCTTTTAAAGGGACACTAGTCACCCAGACCACTTCAGCTCAATGAAGTGGTCTGGGTGCCAGGTCCCTCATGTTTTAACACTTCACATGCTGCTATGTTTACATAGGGTTAATCCAACCTCCAGTGGCTGTCTTCCTGACAGCCGCTAGAGGCGCTTCTGCGACGCTGGATGGGAAATTCGCATTCAGCGTGCAGAACGTCCATAAGAAAGCATTGATAAGTGCTTTGGTATGGACTTTTAGAATGCGCGTGTGACACTATCTAGTGATCCTTTAAGTATTTTTTTAGGTTTGGTGCGGATAGGTTTGATGGTGCACAGTGATTCCTGGGCTGCTTACAACAATATTCAACCGGCACTGAATTTGAGTCCTGCACATGTCAATCACAGTGATCCAACTTTTTGGTTCGTTTCTACAACTGGTACCCACACGCAACATATAGAGTCTTACTGGAAAAAAATGTCAGCATGGCTGAATGTAGGACAAATGAAAACACAGTGAATATTTAGCGTGGCCAAATGTACCATGTCAAAGAGAAAAGAACTGAAGTTGACTGAGAGTCAGGTTCCCTCCTCACAGAATGGAGTATCCTCCACCGATGCCTTAAAGCCTTCCCAAGATGGGAAATCCATGAACCAGAAGTTGTGCTGTAACCTAGAGACCAGATTACAATCATTGGCAGATTGTCAGGAGGTAGCTGGAAGAGGTGTGTGTGTGTGTGTGCATATATGTTTGTGTTCTGTGCTATTCTTGTAACGTAAACTTATATATAGCATGGTGTAAATTATAGATGTGAACAAATCAGTTGAAGTGTGCCCTAACCGTCGTATGCGGTAGGCCTGTAATAAAGACGGCCCCGACTCTCATATAATTTAAAATTGAGTTGAGGGACTGGTGGGTGGGGCATGCCGAACGTCTGAATCCACGGTGATGCGGGTAGAGGGGGGGAGTGCTTAAGTAGGATCAACAAGCCCCTCTCACAACTCCAGGAAAGCCTTTACATTTGTGTTCGGTAATATTTTTGTAACGTAAACATATGTATAGCATGTTGTAAATTATAGATCTGAAAGTCGTTTGAAGTGTGCCGAAACAGACGTATGAGGTAGGCCTGTAATAGAGGGTAAAAATTAGCAGTGTCTTGCCAAATAAATATTTATTGTATAGATGAAACAAAGTGCAAAGAAAATAACTCAAGATGACATTTTATCAAAGGCAGACCTAACTTCTAACACAGATTGAGGTATTTACAAAGCAAATGCAGATGACTTCCAGCGGCCCAAAGACTTAATTATGTGTACTGGAATATCATGACTAGAGGCGGTGGAGGCCATCCCTATCCGAAAAGAATGCCCAGAAAAATTGCTAGCGTTCAGACCTAGTCTGATCAGTAATATGCGTACATACCGCATGAACTTTCCTGTTAAGACAGCTTTGTGGAGGGCTAGCAGCGGGATGTAAGACTGAGGGCAGTATCCAATAAGTCAGACATGTCCTTTAACTGTTTCTGTATGGGTGGTGGTGTGGTATTGGTTTTCTGTATGTTTTTTTTTTTTATGGGGTAAGATGATAAAAAAAAAACCCACTAGGGTTATCTGTGTATAAGGTATACATGTGGTGTTGGATGTTGGTTGAATATAATTTAATGGTGGTGTGTGATAGTTTGAGATGACAAAAGGATGCAAAAGCTACCAGCGTTGAAATAGTAAAAAACTGAACCAAGTTATGGTCTAACATAAATCTCTTATACAGTGTGAAGGCTCTATTGTAAGACAGTTTTGTGTTTTCAAAGAGAGACCTGTTGATGCTGCAGCATTCATCCAAATGACAGGAGAATGAATAGACAATTGTGGTAAAAACATACGTCTGCCATTCCATTGCAACAAGAATTTGCACTACATTAATAAATCAGCAGTAGCCTGTGAATCCAGGCAAATACGGCTAAAGTCATTTGGCAATAGTGGAAGAAGGCAAGAGTCTAGAAATAATGGCTCTACGTTGCGGAATGATGCGTATTGCAAAATTTAGTGAGCCCAACAAATGTCCTGTTATGCAGAAAGTCGTTGATGGTTCGTAGGATACCATAAATTTTGCCTGAGGGGAGGCTTGCTTCCATGCTCACTGAATCAAGCAGGATATCCAATAAATTTACTAACGTGTCAGGGCCTTCTGTTTTCCTGTGAGAAACCCCAAGGAATGAAAAAAACGAGATGGCCGTAGTTAGATCACTGGGAGGAGAGGAATTATTCTCCACGAACAGAAAGTCGTCTAATGTATCACTGCATGGCATCTGCAATTGTTCAACAGGAGCCAACATAAGGTTTCGGCAAAGGTATCAGATATTTTTGGGCTGCTTTTTGACACGGTGAGCCTTGTAAAAAATATAAACCTTTCCATTTCAGACCATGCGACAGGCGTATGGGTAGTAATTTAAATGCATTGATGTCTGTCTTACTCAGCCAAGCCTCTATACCAGCTGTAGTAATGGTGTGTATGGCGTTGTCTGTGGTGGCATACTGAAGGGAAAATTCCTCGAATGGAATTAGTGAGTTAAGGCTTGGTGTGGCCAAGGACTGATCTAAAATGAGTGTTTCACTGAGGACTTCCCGGTGACTAATCCCGGGTTGATTCTCCAATTGGAAAATGGGGGTGCCTGAAAAGGTCCCAACAAAAACCCATCTTCCAATTCTCTTTATAAAAGAGCATCAAATGTTTCCACGTCAGAAAACGCTGATTGCAAATTGTTGGGATATGTACCAGACCTGTATGAAATCCCTCCGTGAAACCATCAATCAAGAAATCCACTAGATGTTTGGATGGGTAAGAAGCTAATGCGTGAGCCAAAGAACCAATGTTTACGGATGTCATACGTTTAGCATGACTTTTTTATTAGGACACGTGGACTTGGCATGAGCCCTAAAACAATGTGAACACTTATGTAAAAATCTGCAGGCACTATAGCCCCATATACCTACATTAACGTTGATACACACCTGCGATTTCCCAAGGTAAACGATAGGACAACAGAGTTTGTCCTTGCCTGATCTGTCCATCCTGGTCTGTCTCCTGGAAAGTCCCAGGTGTGGACTCTGACATGATGGGATAATATTTCGAGGCATGTGAAGTGGAAGCACAAATTGCACAAGCCGGTGTCTTTAGATCAGCAAAGTGTCTGCAAAATAGCTCAGTATCCATACGGCTCAAGTCAGTTTTAATGTTGTACTGAGCCAAGATTGCAGATGCCCTTGCCGAAAAGGACCAGTGGTAATCATAAAAGCATGACCCACAGTATTTATTTACCAAGTCCACCAGCTTGTGCAAATAAAGGTAGAGTTCCTCTCGTCTATGCGTGTATACTGAACAAATTTCATCCCGATATATATATACCAAATGCAATGACAAAATCGGGTATCGACAGTTTCTTATTGAGTCTCGATCCTATCAAGCCTATTGTTAACCTTGCCCATAGATGCTACCAGTGAGGCAACCATGGCACGAAGGCCTGAGTTGCCTGGACCACTTGTCCCCTCTTCCGCCCCTGAGTTATCGGTATTAGTCTACATTAGCTTGAATAGTTCAGCTTTTCTGGCCGTAGCAGGAAAAGGGATACTACGTCTATGAAGCTCCGCAGTAATACGAGGGATTGTCAATGATCTAATAGAAGTTGGGCTACCGATGTCGCCTTTTCGTGAAGGTGACAAGGACCTGACCGGAGAACTGGGGAGAGACAAATTGTCTATCTTCAGGTAGCTGAGAAATACTAAAAGAAAAACGTACCTGACACCCACGTGCGTGTTGATTAGGTCAGAAATTGGTCACAACCCAACACAAAATCAGAGACTTCCCCCACTACTGTAGTGGAAGAGCGGTTTAAGCTAATGATAGCAAAAAGAGAATGTTATATAGAGTAACGAAGGACTCCCCCTTTGTTGCGGAGAGTAAACCCCTTACCCTACACCTTACTCACTGGAAAGAATGTTTAGAGATTTGATTGAACAAAACGTAGGTGATCTAAGCCAACCTGAAAAGTAAGCATAGAGGAATCTCTGAAAATACTGGCATTAAATGACCAATCTAGGCACCCAGACCACTTCAGCTTAATGAAGTGGTCTGGGTGCCAGGTCCCTCTAGAATTAACCCTTTTTTTTTTTTTATTTTATAAACATAGCTTCAGAGAAACTGCTATGTTTATAAATGGATTAATCCAGCCTCTAAAGCCTCTAGTGGCTGTCTCATTGACAGCCGCTAGAGGCGTTTGCGTGCTTCTCACTGTGAAAATCAGTGAGAAGACGCAAGCGTCCATAGGATAGAATTATGCTTTCCTATGAGACTGGCTGCACGTTCAGCTCCTGCCGCGCATGCGCATTCAGCCGAAGAGGATCGGAGAGGAGGAGGAGAGCTCCCCGCCCGGCGCTGGGAAAAAAGGTAAGTTTAACCCCTTTCCTTGCCATCCAGCCCGGCGGGAGTGAGGGCACCCTCTGGGCACTATAGTGCCAGGAAAAAGTGTGTTCCTGTCACTATAGTGGTCCTTTAATACAGTACCGAAGTGAGTGGCGTTATATAAAACTGACCAGAATAACCATCTTAACCAAACTTATATTAATATACGTTAACAATAGGGGGAATAAGAGGCCATGTCTTTTTGAAGATAAGAGCTTCAATTAATTACCCACTTTTAAAAACATGGAAGCTGATCCATATATCTATATAGACCAACAAAGTGTACACTCAATTTCTGTAACAGCCTGTCAACATGAATTTCATATATGTAACATATATGACCACAATATACATATATGATGTAACTTAAATGCTCAGCTTCCCCTGTGGTAAAATATATGCAATAGGGCAGAATGCCCAGTGATGTCTGAGTAAGTAATTTAAATAGCTTGCCACACAAATTAGTTTAAAAGTAGATAATATATGTGATGTATAGGTCCCAGTGCTGTAACCCAGCAGCATATTGATACAATAGTATGACCAGCAATGAGCGTGTACAGCCGTTTGTATGTGAAATTATGTAGCAACAGGAGTTTCTCCCATGTGGGAGAAGTAAACAAACAGCCTGCAAATGAGGAGACCGTGGGTGGTCTGCGTCCGTGTGTTTGAATTCCGCCCCCCCTCCTCCCATAGAGCGGACAACGAGCGTGTGGATGAGGGGTGAAGGGACCGGAGACCGTGTAAACTTAGTGTACTGAGCACCCGAGTGATTTAGAAAGCAGTAGCTGGTTGCTGACTGTGGAACGCACAGACTGAGTAACAGGATCGTGAACCGGAAGTGATCGCCTGCCAACCGCCTGAATCCACGGTGATGCAGGTAGAAGGGGGAGTGCTTAAGTAGGATCAACAACTCCAGGCAAGCTTTTACATATATATACCCTGTTCCAAATTATTATGCAAATTCTATTTAAGTGTCACAAAGATTAAATATTTTGTTTTTCAGTTTAACTCATGGATGGCATTGTGTCTCAGGGCTCTTTTGATCACTGAAAACAATCTCTGACAACTGTGATAATTAGATTGCCAGGTGAGCCCAATTTAAGGAAAAAATACTAAAGGAGGGTGTTCCACATTATTAAGCAGAGCACCATTTTCATGCATTATGGGGAAGAAAAAGGA